CGTAGATCATGTGAGTTGAAAGGGCCTGAATGGCACATTATTACCATATAAATGCATTCCTCAAAGTGATTCTCAGAATATTATAAACTATTAAAATCAAACTAAATTACTAAATAAAATTGAAATAAAATAAAGCAGTCAATTTGCTTCATCGGATTTTCGGCTGAGGCTCTCGTCTCAAACATTCTGCCAGATTCGGTGTCGGCATTTCACAGAAAGGTAGAAGGGTCAGTAGGACGTTAGATGTTACTCGTGGCACCAAAGCAAGAGAAATCTTATGAAGCACCAATTGCCTTTACCGATTCTTTAAATAAATGAATATATAGCTTTTATTGTGACCCAAAGTATTGCAATCTACTCTTGGGGCATGTTGGTGAAAGCACTTAATGTCTATTTATGTCTATTTTTCGCATTTAAGTATTGTTTAGAGACTGCGAGTAAATCAGTAATATGAGATGTATTCACTCAATTTCGTTGAAGGTGATGAAGGACTGGTAGCAGAATTTCCCCACAATGAAATGAATAGAACTGACGTTTTCATTGAGTTTCAAATAGCATTGCTTTCCCAAAAGTTGCTCCCATCCAGGCCCTTGGATCACGGGGCTGATGTGAATTTAAAGGAAGGCCTGGCCTTTTCCCATATCATATTTTTTGGTGGGATTGTCGATGAAGCAAACGTATATTTGCTATGACAATCGACTACGTTACTTTATTTTTTCATTTAATTATTGTTTCCATACTACCAGTAAATCAGTAATATGAGATGTATTCACCCAATTTCGTTTGAAGTGATGATGGACTGGTAAAAGAGTTTTCCCATCTTAAACGAAATTTGGAGAATACATCTCATATTACTGATTTACTGGTAGTATGGAAACAATAATTAAATGCAAAAAATAAAGTAACGTAGTCGATTGTCAGAGCAAATATACGTTTGCTTCATCGATAATCCCACCAAAGAATGTGATATGGCAAAAGGCCTGGCCTTCGTTGAAATTCACATCAGCCCCGTGACCCAAGGGCCTGGGTGGGAAAAACTTTTTGGAAAGCAATGCTATGTGAAATTTAATGGAAACGTCAGTCCTATTCATATCATTGTGGGAAAATTCTTCTTCTACCAGTCCTTCATCGCCTTGAACGAAATTGGGTGATTTCATCTCATATTTTTGTCTACTTATCCATTTTTCCTATTGGTACGTCACTCCACGTTTGTCCACATTGGGTTGTAAGAAATGTCCATTTGCTCGTTTTATGCATGTCCCTAGGTTGAAGGGACCTGTACCCCCGCTACTAAAGAATTCCGTAAGTTGGCCTCCATTGGAAACTGTACTGTCTCTGGGTCACGCAGCTCGGCTTGTCCGTCATCTTAAAAGCTTGTAACACTTGCGCCAAAACCAAGTGTTCTGAAACCTGAAACTTCCAGCAGAGCATAAATTACCCGGAACTGGCATTCTTGAATTAACCATGAAGTGTTCAATCCAACTTGGGCTGACAACATTTGTTTCTTGAGAGGATGGGCCGATTGCGAAGGCAGCAGATCGTCCATCCTTTCGTCCGCCCTGCACTCCTTTTATGGGGACGCAAGTCACTAAGTGGTCAAGAGTTCATCTCATCACTTGTGAGAAATCAGCATATACATACGAATGCACACGTATACAAATATAAATAAATAGATAAATTAATAAATATATATATATATATATATATATATATGTGTGTGTGTGTGTGTG